TGCTTTGTTTGCAGAATTTGGCAGGGTGGTTAGACGGCATCAGTTGTTTACCAAGCATTCATTCTGATTTGTTTGCAGGGAGGTTAAATATTGTTGTGAAAAGGAAAGACCACACTTTCAAGAGCATTTTCCTGTGACGTTTCTTACTGCAAAAAAAATCTGGGTTGCTGGTTTTGGGGGGGGTGCAGTTTTTATGTGCAAAAGTGCCAAATCGACTTTAGTTGTGCAACCCAAATTTGCAAGGATGTGATTGAATCCCACTCAAATATAGTGACCTAGATCTTCCAGTTTGTTTATTTTCACATAAAAGCAGGCATTTTTAGAGTTTTCCTTTGCTTAGATCTCACATCAACCACAAACTCCTTTGGGGGTCCATAGGCAAAGCCCCCACCACCACCACCACCTATTTCTCAGAGATTTCCTTGGTTGCCATCGCCTACCTAAATGATTTTAATAGACGTTCACCCTATCAGAATTCTGCATGCTTTTGAGGAGCCAGATAAATAAATACAATAAAGGTTCTATGACCAACCTTGGCTTCACTTTTAGAACAACGCTGCAGGCTTGTTTTGTTTTGCTTTTTATTGCAAAGAATTCACCTTCTGTGGGGGAAAGAAAAAACAAACGGGTAGTGGTGGAATCAGGCCTCAGAGGTTGATGTTTCCTTAATCGAAATGAAAACAGCATTAGGAAAAGGCAGTAAAATCTGCACGAAACATAAATGTGTACACAAGAATATCATAATGCTGAATTGGTTGTTCAAATAATTGTCAGACATCTAATTTAGGATGGGGAAGTGAAATCATACATCCTTTAAAACGCACACAAATTCTTTTTTTCTTTTTCTTTTTAATAATAGTCATTCATTCAGAAAACAATAGGAAAATTAATGCTTATTTCACTGTTCTCTGGTACTCATCGTAAATCTGACCCCACAAGCTGCTTTCCCTTTATCGTCTCCATCCAGCAAATGAACACGTTATTATGTTTATGTGCGCAATTCAATTACAAAGAAATAGAAAATGGTACCTGGAATCAATAGCCTATTACAGTACTGCAATGATAGGTCATTTCAGCTCTATTTAGTCTATTGAAATATAAGCCTGCACTGTGTGTGCTTGAAAGTTCCAAAGTACCAAAGGAAAATTCCTGTTGACTTCACCGTTAGGCTTTCTAACACCAAAGTCTGCGAAATGCTAATTTTTGGGGGCCTACAGGAAGAACTGGGAAAACTCAGCTCACTGCTGGAACCAACAAGGCTAGCCAAACTCCAGCTCACAAGGCTTATGTGGTTTCCAAGCAATTCAGAAACAATAATGTTTATCCCTTTATCAGATAACCTATAGGCTGTGGGGAAACTTTTCTGTGACCACACTATCGACTTTAAACTGGTTAGGGAAACACTCACAGATGTAAGACCACACTAGGAATGGGCAGAGCAGTCTGTTTCCGGTCTGGGTCAACGGGTTCATTCATAAATCTGATCACTGAAATACATCTGGGAATTAGAAAACAGAAATCTGCACAAAGGGCTGTCCAAAGTAGGACTTCATGAATGTCTTGTCTGTGCAAAGATTCTGGCTTGCACAACTGAGTGAAAGGAAATTCTTACTGTGAATTTCTATTACCAGAGACTCTGGGAAGACAGCCTTTATGCTGAGCTTGGCTTCTCCCACTGACTAGACAGGCAGGGTCACATGAACATCCTTGCTGGGGTAGGAGCCATCCCACAGTCCCCAGACCAGCCCTGCCTTTCAAGCTGGGCAGATGGGGTCCTTGTCACTGTAAAGTCCAGCGCCGCTCCACGTGTTTTTAAACCTACTTTCCCTTGGATTTTAAGATTATTTTTCCTTGCTGTGGATTCCCTCTATTTCCCCGCCCCCTCAAGTCCTTTCCCTTATGTTGATTACTGGATCCTTTTTCCTTGCTACTTCCAGATTCCTTCCTCAGTGAACAATGGCAAGAAACCCTTTTGGAGCCTCAAAAGTCCTTTGGAGATTCCCTTTCCTCTGGACCAGCTTCCGAATAGAGCGGTGGCCTGGATAAGGACCCACATGCTGAAGTCTGAATCCTGGGAAGACTAAGGCCTTGTGGCTAAGGATCCTTGTGTCTCAAAGTAGAAGCCAATTATCTGTTCTGGATGGGATCACACTTCTTCTGAAGGAGCAGCTATAGAGCTTGGGGTACCCCAAGATATCTCTTTGTCATTAGCGGACCAAGTGACTTTTGTGCCTAGGAGGTGCCCATCTGGATAGCCTGATCACTGAAGCCCATGCATTGGTAAGCTTGAGACTTACCAACAATGTGCCCTATATGGAAGCTCCAGCAGAATGCAATGGTTAGACTCCTGGGCACCGGAACGGGGGGGAGCGCACCGCCCCCTGCACCATTGGGGTACCATCGCGTCCGCCCCCCTGGACACGCACCATGCATTACAAAGATGTCTGCAGACGGGACATGAAAGCTGGCAATGTTCACCCCACCATGTGGAAATCCCTTGCAAGACAACCGCAGTGCCTGGAGATAGACAGTCAGGTCAAGCATCCACAGCAGTGACCAGAGGAGGAATGACTGCTGGGAAGAACGCAGAGAAGGAATGCCATGGTGCACCTACATCACAACGCCATGGGCACCTGTTGCAGCTGCAGCAAAACATGTCTCTCCTGTATTGGTCCCTACAGTCAAAGCAGAAGCTGCAACTTTCCAATGGTTTCAATTCACCTCTGAAGGCACACTCTTCAATTGTCTCCCGAGACAGACGGATGCCAACCAGTTTACTTGCATAGCAGAACAGCTTCAGTTAGACACCACAAGGTGGCAGTCATCTATAAGTCAAATGTATGTGAAGAACCGATTTTCAGATTTTTTTTTATAAAAACCAGTGTTTATTAAAGATTTTCTTTGAACAGTGTTTTTATCTCCCGCTCCTCCTGTGTCCACAAAAGGTTCAGAGGCACTTTCTGTCAAAATAGGATTTACAGCGCTTGAAACATTTACATCGCTTGCACAGGGAGCCTGGAATAGTGAGAGGGGTAGTATGGGATGCACAAATTAAAATGGCAGCTGTATAGGAAAAGAACTAAGCCATGAGTAGAATAAGTAAACCTTGTTCTTTAGTCGTGTCCGACTCTTCGTGACCCCATGGACCAGAGCACGCCAGGCACTCCTGTCTTCCACTGCCTCCCGCAGCTTGGTCAAACTCATGCTGGTAGCTTAGAGAACACTGTCCAACCATCTCGTCCTCTGTCGTCCCCTTCTCTTTGTGCCCTCCATCTTTCCCAACATCAGGGTCTTTTCCAGGGAGTCTTCTCTTCTCAAGAGGTGGCCAATGTATTGGAGCCTTAGCTTCACGATCTGTCCTTCCAGTGAGCCATGAAAACCTACAGGTACTAAATCTCAGTGCTTTTTTTCTGGGGGTACACATACCCCTAAACATTTTATGAATTTTTGTACTTTTGTCCATTTGCTGAAATTTTCCCCCCAAATTGAACTATAAAATGGTGATATTTTTGAGTCAAACTTTTTTTAAAGAAAAAAAGCACTGCTAAAACTTAAGTGGAAAAAGTCAGATGAAGCCTGTGTGCAAAGCTGGTATATTTTTACATGCTTTCTTGTCACTACTGAATCATTATTTCTGTAATCATCCTAAGTTTCAGTTCAAGAATACTAGGCTTTATAGGTGTCTTAACACAAAGCTATCTTAGGCCTGCATGTTACACACAGCTTTGACAAAAATAAGTTGAACGGAAGATCTAGTACATGTAATTATTGCGACTCTGTGGATCCATGCAATTTATTCTGAAGTGAAAGGGTTTTTAAACAGCATGCTAACACTCTGCAAAGGCTGCCAGTAAATGGGCAGATGAGACACAACTCAACAAAATGGTTCATTAACGATGCAGAGTATGTTACTATTACATTTTATGAAAGCTTTAAATATTGATGATTTTTCTTCAGCTGAAGTGCTTATCTGATGATTTTCAGTCGGCACACAGGTAAAGTTCCTAAGTCTACATAGATAAAATGCGACATCAATTTTCACTGTTCTCAAGAGCTTGTCAAGTAGCAATTACAGAGCTATGTGACTCCACCTTCGCTCCCACATCATCCAGCTTAAAATGCCAAGATACCAGAGGATTAATAATTCCAGAGGGGTACCTGTATGCCAGCTGGGAGCACACACAAAGTAGGGAAGTCAAATAAAAAAGGAAATCTTGTTGCACTTCAAAGATGAATAAACTCCTTATAGGTGTTCATGGACTGATCTGTGTCCACCCTCTTGCATAAAGAATAACCTCTTTGCCCCAGTACCTAGCTCATGTTAAGAACTCCATATAATGTAGATTTAGGTATCTGCCATGACAGAAAAGTGAGAAAATAAAGTCTACTACATTTGCACAGTTTTCCAATTGCAGAGCTGCAGGCAGATAAATTAATGAAGCAGCAGCATTTAAGCCATATTGTCACAGTATCTGGAGGGGGAATTTGTTGTCAGGACTAAATGCTAGGCACCCCTGCTGGTTGGCACATTCCTGCAAAGTATTAGACAAGGTTGCTTTGTATTCTTGCCATTATTCATTTCGTTGTACACTGCTCAAAAATATGTATGCGATTTAGCGAGCAAACCTTTATTCCCTGACAAGGGTAAGAGAGAAAGATTTGTCCTGGGCCCTGCAATTATACTGTTGCCAAGAAAGGAGAGAAGCAGCATCTACCTTTTCCCCTCTTATTGACTGCAGTGTGAGGGAATTTACATTCATAGCCCGAGGGCTGCTTTAGCGTTAATGGCCATGGCCAGGGGAACAGAGGCACTCTGGATACAGTGGCATGGCATCCTGCCAGCAGTCCTCCCCCTCTCAGCTGGCATTTAGCCTGCTTAAGTCTCTAGGTGAACCTAGGATTGCTCCCCAAGTTACCTAGAAGGTTTTGTAGTGACATTTGTACAGATCTGATGTTTATTTGAATTGAATGACTTATATAAACCAGGGGCAGCTCACAAATCAATAGCACCACAATTTTTTTATTAAGAAATACAAAAGGTTTGACACTTGCAGATTAAGAAACAACCTGTCCAATCAAGTTTATATAAACACGATTGTGTTTGGAGCAACATTCAAATTAAAGTATTTGGTTTAAAACTAGCAAAATCTATGCCAGCATTTTATGCAGCAACCTCTAGAGTTTATACCACATTTCCAGGCGAGAAATAAAACCATGAGAAATTACAAACAGTGTTACCACGTCCTGAAACCAAGACTTGCTTGTCAGGTAAAAGTTCATTTTTACTTGAACCATGCATTCACTATAGAAGGTAAGACTATTAAACACTGGTTTCAACAGTTTAACATCTTAAGAATAAAGTGTAAATCCAGCTGCCGGTTAAAGTGCAAATTACATGTGTGCCGAGTTCTTTTTCAGAAGGCAGAGGTGATGTTGAAATGCTGCCATTAATGGTTATACAACTAACCAGAGGCACTGACAGCCTATTACAAGCTCCAGCTAAGTTTAGTTCCTTCTGCTACCAGCCAAACATGTATTCCAGCGCTTTGGAGACAATGCTTTCATCTTTCCTTGGAGTCTGTCTGTCAGAAACCACCTAAAAAAGAAACACACACAAAGTAGCAGATCTGTATATTCTAAATGAACAAATACTAATTCCTTTAATCCAGCGCTAAAGGTGACTTTTTCACAGTATTCCCTAAATACCTGGTAGTCACTGGTTGATGCTTTATAAGCTGTAGCAAGAGGTCTCATAGTAGCGATTCTTTGAGCGCTTGAAAGCTGCACTGGTGTGCCCAGTGTTTTCATTGGTGGCGTAAAGGCTGAAGATGGGGACGATACAGTGCATCTATCTGTGCTTTCCATCACATTCTGCAAACAGAGATCAAGTAGTCCATTCAGACAAAGTAGTTATCAGAGTCCAAGCATTTTTGGAAGCCTAAGAAAGTAAGGTTTCATCACTAGAACTAGTCTCCCTTCTCACTGAAGAGACAGTACAGAAGAGTTCACTTACTGGAACTTGTCTGATTACCAAACTGTGCTAGTGAAATATGTCAACAGTGATTTAACAAGCCATGAGGGCCTGATACCAAACACAGACATGGCTGAGGAATACAGGATCATTAGAAGCTAGAATTCTAATGATACTTTTGAGGTAGGCTGACATGGTAAAGGTTAGAGTTTGCGTTTTTGAAATATGATATATATTGACACTGAAAAGCTAGCTTTTATGTTTGGCACTCAATCTATAAAGAAGATTTTCCTTTAATATAGCGGCCTCCAGATATGCAATATGACTATTAGTTCACCACTCTATCATTCTGGAATGGAAGCAAAATACTAAATACAGTACCCAAAACATTGTAGTCAGCTTATCTACCCAATTCTCCACATTGTTATTCCTATAATGTTCTGTATTGGTAGTTCCTCATGTTATCACATCAGGCCAAACTTCAAATTAAGATCATTGAGGGACTCTGCTAAAGTGCATTGAGGCGCTCGGCTAAAGTGTATTGACATACAGAAATTGCCAATCTGTGCAAGACAAAAATGGTGGTCACAGGATTAAGAGTCATCCACACTTTGTGACAACGTCCAGAATTTTTATACAGGCATCTTACGCTTCTTTAACTTACACAATCACAACTTTGCACAGGTGGTGGTGAGTAAATAAGTAAGTAAGTAAATGAATGAACGAATGAATATTAAATGAACTTACTTTATCTATACAAGGCTTCACTCCAATCATGATGGATTCACCAAAAATTCTTCCGTCTTTGCTCAAGGCTTTCCGGGCTTGCAATTTCGACTGATAGTGAATATGCATCCAGTTTCCTGTGTTAGACATCTGTAAAGTTTAGTAGGAAGCAGTAAGGTTTAGACAGTAAGCTAAGCATAATGGCTGAGCTTCATTTTTATATATATATAAAAGAGGTACTAATCTAGACTTACAACATGCTTTAAAATGTTTCCATACTGTGCAAACTGTAGTAGGATGTACGAAGCAGATGCTTGAGGAAACCTGAAATATTGACAGGAAATAAAAAACAGAAATAAAATTTAACCACTCAAAATTCAGTCAACGTTAAACCACTGGCAGTGTATCCAGAAGGGCAGATCAGTGTCACCTGTATCTCCAAACACTGCCAAACCTGCTACCTATTTCCCATCCCTACATTTTAGTTTGTCTCATGGAGTAAGATGGGAAAAGGAGAGAGGTCAAAACACAGCACAGTTTAGCCCAAGTACAGTACTAGAATACTGAAGTCCAAATACTTCTGTTTAGCATTGATTGTAGACCAGGATGTGTTTCAGTGTACAGATAGGAGAGTAAAGATGAAGAATTAAGATGTTTAGAATGTTTCAATTGTCCTATTATATAAACTTTACTATGTTAATAAACAATGAATCTCCTAAATTAATAAAACATGAATAGCCAAGACCAAACACCAAATATAAGAGGAATCTGAACAAACATCATCCAAGTTGTATGAACTGCAGAAATCCACATGTCTCATCTCTTATATTTTTATCATCATCCTATGCCCCAACATAACTTGAATCCCAGCCCCTGAAAAGCTTAGGTAAGCCTGTTAAGACCCATGTTTAAATGAGTACATGCTCATCCCTGGCAACATAACCACCTCTCAGTCTTACAGTACTGCAGCTCACTTACCCAAACACTGTTACCCAAGTGTCATCTAGATGATCATCGGAAGTTAGGGCATCTCCTTGAGTATAGAATGGATCTAGTTGAGCTGGAGACATTGTGCTCTTCCTGGGTTGTGCAAGAGTCGCTGGACTGAACACACTGGCACCTGTCAAATTGCGGTAAGATGCACCTCCACCATCACTATAATTAAAACTGAACTAGGCATTTTAATTTGAAACAAAGAGCAAACACCATGCATTAACACAGAACTCAAGTAACAAGAATCATACTGTTGTTCACATGTTAGAATAGTAGGAAAAAGCTGCTAGTGTTGACAATGGCATCTCAAAAGCCAGTAGAATAGCTCAACCTCCCTCTATGACTAACGTTCTACACAAGAACGGTTCTAGGAACAAGCTATCCCATCTGTCATTAAGCAGATCATATACTTTTAATGCCTGTTCTCATGTAGAGAACTATTTAAAAAAAAAACCAACACAACCAGCAACTAGAAGTACAGTCATACCTCAGGTTGAAGTTGCTTCAGGTTGAGTGTTTTCAGGTTACACTCTGCGGCAACCTGGAAGTAACGGAATGCGTTACTTCCAGGTTTCGCCACTCATGCATGTGCAGAAGCGGCGAATCGCGACCCGCACACGTGCAGACACCGGTTGCGTTCGCTTCAGGATGCGAACGGGGCTCCGAAACGGATTCCATTTGCATCCAGAGGTACCACTGTAGTAGTAGAATCTCAGACCAATATTTTCACTTCTGAAGACAAAACTGTATCTGGCATCATGACAACTTTGCTACTATCTCTCTGCCTACTTCATAACAGAAGCCAGGGCTCAGTTAATGTGCACCAGGCTGTCAGGCCTACAGAAACATTTTACATTGCAAACCTATACATATTCTCTCATAAGTACGTCTTATTGATTTTAATGAGGTTTACTCCCAGGGAGATTGGTATAGGATTGCAGCCTTTGTCAGTGCCACATGCAGATGTCTGGTTTGCCTATAGAAAAAGCATATGATGAGCATGCTAGAGCAGTGTTTCCCAACCTTGGGCCTCCAGCTGTTTTTGAACTACAATTCCCATCATCCCTGACCACTGGTCTTGCTAGCTAGGGATGATGGGAGTTGTAGTCCAAAAACAGCTGGAGGCCCAAGGTTGGGAAACACTGTGCTAGAGCACTATATGAAGCAGTATGATGTCCTACCTGTTCCAGGAGTCACTGGCATAGATCCAACAAGTGGACTCTGCGTCACCGAAAAGCTGACCTGCATTAAAGTGCAGAACTTGGTTTGAAGCTGTTTTGAAAGTCAGAATATTAACTATTCTGCACCACTTAGATAACATTTCCACAGTAAAAATCAGACAATATTATAGATTAAAAACTTGAAAAGGCATGCACGTATCTACTGAACTGCTGTGAAAGGGGGTATCTTCTATGTCCTTTTTAGAACTAACAAAACTGAATTGACTACTAAAAGTATAAAGTTAAATGGTGCATGGTATTGGGATTCCTTTTACACATGTCCTCCAAATCCTCAATTTGCATCCCAGCTATCATATTTAGCCCCAGTTGATATACTACTCTTCTGCAGTATTGAGATGCAGACAAGGTTCATCATCAGCCACAGAGGGTAAAGTTAGGCAAAACTAATAGATGGATATTTCATGCCTACATCTTTTCCAGCAACATAGCAATTATAGTGTGAACTCATCTCTCTACATCTCAGCTACCAGGCTGACCCTAGTAACAAGCTGACAGTACCATTCCAATTGCCATATATACATATACATGCACATGCACACACACACATGCACAGAGAGAGAGAGAGAGAGCGCAATTGCTTGTGCACCTTTATTTGCCTTTAGAACTGATGTATAGCCCACTAAAAATTAACATAATTATGAAAGCAGCTTTTTAAATATTTTCCACACTGAACATACAAGATGACACACAATCTAAACTGCTTAGCATACTGGAAGCACTTAGTTACTAGTTTTTCCCACCCACAGCAAATGTATCCAACAGCTGAAATGTCTATCAAGCTAGAGAAGAATGAGAATTAGTTACCACAAACAGGTTTAACTTTGCAACCTCATTAATGGTCACTTACGGGCCTTCTTGAAGTCAGGGGTGTTGATCCAAGACCTGGGCTGGCTACTTCATCGTATATACTTCTAACTGGTGGAGCACCACCTTTATCTTTGTGTGTTGGAACTACTGGCTGTGGGGGAGATCCACCTATATGAAATACAGCACAACATTATAAGCTGCTGGTGTGTCCTTTCTGATCCTAAACATCTTGTTACACCCAAACGAGGTATACAATTCTTCCAAAACTAGACTTTATTAGGAATGGACATGCATTATGATTTTAAATGAAAGAAACCTTGGTAATGTAATCAACTGCTGGCATAGTATTAAGGTAATTCCTGCCATTTATTGGGAATTAAAACACAAATCCATTATGTTTATATCAGGGATGTCCAACAGGTCGATTGCAATCTACCAGTCAATTGTGGGGTTTTCCCTGGTCAATCCTGGACAATCTCAGGACCCTGGTGCCCCCCCCAATAATTCTTCCATCTTTGCTCAAGGCTTTCTGGGCTTGCAAATTTGACTGACAGTGAATATGCATCCATTTTCCTGCGTTAAGACATCTGTAAAGTTTAGTGGGAAGCAGTGGTCTTCCAAAAAGCTGAACAATTTTGATGGGTAGATCACTGCCAGTTTTTTTATAGTGGGAGTAGATCGCAGTCTCTTGAAAGTTGAATACCCCTGGTTTATATGATGCAACATTTCCAGCAGCACCATCAGATTACCTGAGGAGGAGCACTTTGAGAAGGGTGGGAAATACTCTCTCTCTCTCTCTCTCTCTCACACACACACACACACACACACACACAGCAAGGGGAAAACCATGGCTGGCACTTGCAAATGGGAAAGCCCTAGTTTTCAATGCCTTAATTTTTAAAAATTAAAATTCTAACAATGAGGAAGTATTCACTACTGAATTCTTCTGTCTGAAAATATTCACAAGTATTCCAATAAAATTCCAATGAAATAATTTCCAATTAGTTTGAAATTAAGTTCAGGGAATTTAACTGTGTGTCATCCCCATCCCCCCCTCAATCAAGTAGTTCACTTTGGGTTATGGGGGGGATGCAATATTTACACAGTGTATGAAATTAATGTGACATACTTCTAAGGCTTTGCTTATGAAATACAAGTAAAACACAACTAATCTAATCCAAATACAGTGGAACCTCATGTTACGTACCATCCTCTTTGTGAAGGCTTTGGGTTACGAGCTCCGCTAACCTGGAACTTTGCCCCGGGATGCGAGCGGAAGTCGCACGCCGGCAGCGAGGCAGGCTCCATTAGCAAAAGCGCGCCTCATGTTACGAGCAGTTTCGGCTTAAGAACGGACCTCCAGAACAAATTAAGTTCGTAACCGGAGGTACCACTATAGATGGACTGTTGATAAGGCAGGAGTACATCCAAGTAATGAATGGGATCTAACAGCAGCCTCCCTTCTTTGCAAGTGATTTTGGGTCTAACAGCAAATAAAGAAGGTCAATCACTGTGCTTAAAACATGCAACAATGGCACTTTATTTAGCCTCTAATCCTTGGAGCTAAAGGCAAGAGGTACCCGTATAATTGAACTGTAGCACACCAAAATGGATAGGCACACTCTTCCCCTACCACCCCAATACTAGAGGTTTCAGTTCAGAACCAACTTACCAGCATGCAATGGTGACCTCACTTCCATCACACCAACGGAAGGGCCGCTGAAGGATCGAGGCTGTGGTGTCACAGGAGTTGGTAAATCGCCCATCAAAAATCCAGGCAGGAATTGAGCACCAGCACCAGGCTTAGGAGAGGTAGGGGAACCCAGTGTCATTGGCTCAGTACCTGCATTGGGAAAGGGTGCGCATAAGAATGGCTTACTAAGTCTCCACAGACTGAATGATCTAGTTATCCCCAAACACAACTTTAGAGAAACACTATAAAAGGTGATCCAAAACAGTTAGCTAACCTACTCATTTAAAGGTCTAATCATCTAAAGGTCAACACATAAAGAAAAACAAGGAGCAGGCAATACCTTTAACAAAATACAAAACGGCAGCATCAATGTAGCTGTCCCATTTTATCTAACAATGCTCTGAGGGTAATTGACAGAACAGTGAACTAGCCCGAAGATCTTATTTTAACTTTTCAGAAGTTTCAAGATTATTGTGGTTAGTTTTTCTTAACGATAATTATATTGCTTTTTATTGCTTTGAGAGTTTGTTTCTATTAAAAGCAAGCAATGCTTAATTTTCATGAAATAAACACAGGTGATTCCTCATTTACGCAGGGGTTACATTCCAAACCCCCATGCGTGCCATTGCACCTTCAGGTCAAGAGGAGACCCTCCCCGAGCCCAAAGATGATGCCCCCTTCAACCTCTGGGGTCTCCTCACAAGCTAGAGGTGCAGCAGGGCTTTGCTGAGGCTCATCAAGCCTCTCCCCCCCCCCACTTATTGATTTCCAGAGCCGCTCATATGCACGGTTTCACGTGAATTGAACACGTGTAAATGGGGGAAATGAGGGACGCAGGTGGCACTGTGGGTTAAACCACAGAGCCTAGGGCTTGCTGATCAGAAGGTCGGTGGTTCGAATCCCTGCGACAGGGTGAGCTCCCGTTGCTCGGTCCCAGCTCCTGCCAACCTAGCAGTTCGAAAGCATATCAAAGTGCAAGTAGATGAATAGGTACCACTCTGGCGGGAAGGTAAACGGCATTTCCATGCACTGCTCTGGTTCGCCAGAAGCTGCTTAGTCCTGCTGGCCACATGACCCGGAAACTGTACGCCGGCTCCCTTGGCCAATAAAGCGAGATGAGTGCCACAACCCCAGAGCCGGCCACGACTGGACCTAATAGTCAGGGGTCCCATTTACCATTTAAATGGGGGAATCCCTTCAAACAACATCACTCATGTGCTTCACAAGGAAACAGGAATTATTATTATTAAATTTGTATCCCACCCTTTAACTACAGATCTCAGGGCAGTTCACAAGATAAAAATCCACAGGGTCCAAATACTACTTCCCCTGCAGGATGCACCTGAGCCAACAGGCCTAAACGTCAACGTAACTTCCCGACCAGGGGCCGAGGTAGTCGTCTGAACGCGCATGAAGACATCTTGGGGTTTCATGGCTCCCGGCGATGGGCTGGAGAACCAGGGCGCTTATCTCTCCCCGCCCCCCACTCGCCCCAAAGAAGTCAGGGAATCCCGCGTTCCGACGCCGGCGTGACGTCACAGCCACCGGTCGCCAGGAAGAGGCCCCGCCCCTCCCACCCGAGGCATAACTGAGCCACGCCCCCTCCCACGCGCCGAGGCTTCAGGGCGGCCGTTAAACGGCCACAAACTTGTCAGGCGGGGAGAGGAGCGGCAGGAGCCGGGAAGCGAACCCGCCGAGAGGGACGCCCTCAAGGCTCGGCCCAGCGGCTGAACTCACCCACGGAAGAGGAGGAAGGCAGAGACAGCTCCATGGCGAAAGCAGCCGCGCGACCCACTACACACACACACACGACTCCTGCCCTCAGCTTGCCGCTTTCAAATGCAGCGCAAGCGCAGCCGGCGTGTCGGGAAAACGTCACTTCCCTTCCGAGGGCGAGCGAGCGTCTTCACTTCCGCCATAGGAGAGCGACGAGGTCTTTTCTAGACATTTTGTTCTCTATGGTCCGTCCGTCTCTCCCTCCCCCCCCCCCTCCGAAACACACATTCTCACTGCGATGTCAAGACACCTAACATTTTAAAGCTTAGCAATGGGGTGCTAATAGGAGGACAAGGAGGATTTTTTAACGAGGATGCGATTTGTGTGTGTTCTGCCCCACAAGAGGAAGAAAAGAGAACTCAGGATGCAGCTCTGCACCCCCTTCACTTGGAAGGAAGCCTTACTGAAACAAACATTTGGGCCAGTGTTTCCCCAGCTTTGGTCGCCGGCTGTTTTTGGACTACAACTCCCATCATCCCCAGCTGGCAAGATCAGTGGACAGGGCTGATGGGAATTGTAGTCTAAAAGCAGCTGGAGAACATTTTGGGAAACACTGCTTTAGACATTTGCTAAATTGCCTTGCCGTGTTCTTTCAAACTCAGGTCTTTAAACATGTTCAGTTTAAGTTCTTGAATGCTTTCTGTCCTAATGATGGTGTAATTAAATTGTTGTCGCCCTCCTATTGCAAATGCAGTATAAGTTGGGTGAGGAAAGGGAGGCTGATGCTGAGAAACAGGAGCTTTACCCACAAGTAAAAGTGCCTGAACTGGCGGTGACTGACCAGGGACAAGACCTTGGTTTGGGGTCCAAGTTGACAGCTCAATCAACATTTCAGCTTGTGTGTGTGTGTAAAAGACAGATTCAATGCTAGGAGTCACTGGTGAAGGAACTGAAAATAAAACTTATAACATCGTGCCATTATACAAATCAATGGTGTGACTGCATTCGGAATGATGTGTTCCAGTGGCCTCAGCTCAAAAAGGGCAACCAAAATGATTGAGGAGATGGAGCAGTTCTTTTATGCAAAGGTGCAAAGGATAGATAGGTTTGTTTGTAAAAACCAGTGGAGGGACCATTCAGAGAGGGAACTGACACTTTTGGATTCCCATTCTTCACAGCCAGAAGGAAATAAAATCCTTAGGTTTCAGACTGGCATCCAGCTCCAGACTTTTAGCACTTTTCCTCCCCAGCCTTTTTCCAAAAGACCTGAATGCAACTCCACTTCGAAGCTGGCTTGAACCAGAGCATTTATGTAGAATGGAAACACATTGCAGCATTTTGTTGCAAGTCTCACTCGTAATGTCTTATTGAACAGTTTGTTCGAACATCCCTCATGTCTTCTTTCTAGCTTACGTAGAAGCAAAGGCCAGGTTGCCAGGGCAACCCACGAATTCACTGAACAAATCCTGTGATGTAGATGTTTAAAAATAAAGATCATTTTGTTGAATCTGGTCAAATCTGACTGCTGATTGTGTGGGGATCTGCTGTTAGCTGCACAAGGGGTTAGCTAGTGTATAATAGAACATGAACAACAGAGGTCATAGGAACCAACTCCTAGGGGCCAAAGTCCCTTCGCCCCCCCCCCTAAAATATTTGACAGAGCCAGGCCCCTCCCAAAATTGATGGGCATTGCCATTCAAATGGGGGGGTGTCATGTCATATCATGTGATTGACTATGTGAGCGTGTCATGTCATGTGATCAATTACCTCCCCCCCCGCCCCATATTTTATTCAAGTGGGCAGCCCTGAAAGAGGTTCTGTGGAAAGCCAAGGAAAGATGCTAAGCAGGACAAATCATGATGAGGATACATCATTCACTGGATTGTCGCCATATTAAGATGTACTAATAGCAAACCTATGTGCTGAGTTATACAGCTAACATGCAACTAAAGCAACAATACATGCAGCTAAAGCAACAATACTGAAAAACAAGAGGTATTTGTTTTTTTTAGAGCTATTGGACCCTGCTCTTCAGCCAAAAAGGCTCCTTGACCGGCTTACAATCAAAACAGGACAGTCCCTACCTGTAGACTTACAATATAGTTGTATATTGGATCCCGAAAGTCCTGAAACTCAGACATTTTGGCTGCCAAATGCTGCAAACCCAGAAGTGATTGTTCTGGTTTGCGAACGTTCTTTTGGAACCTGAATGTCTGATGGGGCTTCCACGGCTTCTGATTGGCTGCAGGAGCGATTTGGTTTTGGAAGTCGAACAGACTTCCGGAACGGATTCTGTTCAACTTCTGAGGTACGACTGTAAAATAAAATGATGCACAAGGGAAAAGCAATAGGGAGGGAAGAGCAAAATCAAAACTCAGTCATCCCTTTCTAAACAGTTGTGCCTATAATGACCAGCTGGTACAGCTTATGGGCAGGATGTGCCTGATGGAGCTTGGCTTCCAGCAAAGCTGATGAAATAAGCCCCGATTCCTACCTCTCCCACTGAGGCCCCTGCTTTTGACTCTGCATTTGCTGCTGGTCCCGCCAATCCTTATTTACCTGCTCTGGAGTCTTGTCCCTGCCTGTTTTGAACCACAGGTCCATCTCTACCTTACTCTGACTGACTGCCAGACTCACCTTGGGTTCTGAAGCCCAACAATCTACTGCCTGATCCCACTGAGTTCTAACACACCCACATTCTAATAAGAATTGGCTCTTGATAAAACTGGTCCTGAACAGAATGCCTTACTAAGGAGACTGAATTATTTTATAAACAGGTAATACAGGTGAAATGGGCTGGGAACAGGTCACATGAAAAATTGACTCCTCCTATCTATGCTGAGCTGTAAGAGTCTTTTTGGAGGCCCTAATCCAGGTGCTCCCAGAAAAGTGAAGTGAGGCTGGTGGCTACGAAAAGAGAAGGCCTTTTTGGTAGTGGCACCTTGGCAATGGAGTAGCCTCCCAGAAGGGCTCTCTTGGTATCTCCTCTATGGCACCAGGTGAAGGCCTGTTTACTCACCCAAGCTTTTAATTGGGTTTTAAACATAGGCTTTTTTCTTTTATTGTTTTAAATGATTTTTGCATTGTTTTGCTAATAGCCTGCCCCAAAAATAATTTACTGCTGGTCAGCTATAACATTATAATACAAATACTAATGTGAAAGCTTTAATTCTGTTATTCTAAGCAAACTTTTATCAGTAGAAAAACATTACAAGTGATGTAACCTTGCTGGTGCTTTTGTTACTGTTCTGTATTACTTGTAGATTTCTGTGTTTCTAATTAAACAAATACTTTTTAAAAAGGGATGAAACAACCACCAAACCAATGAGGCTTTGCAAATCCATTTTGATTCTTTATTGCTCTATCCCCTTTTTTTGAAAATTAAAAAAACCACAGAATATTTATTTTGAGGTGTTGTGAACTTAAAATTATACAACGAAATAGAGTGAAGCTAACTTTATAACAACAGTTTTAGAGGTGTAATTCAGGGCATCTCATTACAACGCAGTAAAAAAAGAAAAACCAACAGCTTCTCTCAGTACAGTGCAAGCACAAAGGCTATTTTTTCCTCTTTCATAATTATATATTGTTTTAGGTTTCCATGCTTTTATTATTGCACTGATGGTATTTGTGGAGTTGCTCCATGAAGCCAGGATTTGGACAAATAGCAGGTCTTGCATTTTTCACCAAAGTAAAGGCCCTGGAAAAATTGAGTCCTTCTGAGTGCATTAGGAAGCCTATGATGATAGCTGCTGCGCGAGAGACTCCTGCATTACAGTGAACTAGTACCACACCATCCTCCAAGAGAAACAAAGAGAGAGAGAGTGAGAGAGCACATTTAGAAAACCATTATCAATAACAACTGGTATCATGCCATTTTCTCTACTGGTAAAGAATTCTAAGCGCCAATCCAAGAACAAGTTGTTCCACCCAAATAATATATAATATAATATAATCATCATCAAATGTAGATCTTACAATATTACACACATTTGCCTTCTGTTTCATATACTGATCTTGAATTTCTAGTAAGCGGCATGCACTCAAAGATCCTTCCACTGAATAGATAAGTGAGTACTATCAGTCTTGCCTGTACTGATCACTTGCTGGGAGAAGTTGGTTAAAGGGAGGATCAATTCCAGTCATCCTATCTCCCAAATAGGTGCCTGATATCTAATCAGCTTTTGCTGATTGTATAGAAACTAACAGGATAATTTCCCGTTCTGCCGTCTGTGTTAAATTAAGTACCCACTTCCAAGTTTAAACTAACTACCGTTTGTCATTATGTCCAAACTGGAAACTGTGGTTAGTTTCAACTGTGATTCAGTGGAACAAATCAAGACCAGAAAGCATGGCTTCTGTATCAATAAATCATAGTTTAAACTAACCACAGTTTGCCCTTTTGGAAAGTATCCACAAAACTGCAGTTGGTTTTAACCAACTTCCTCTGATCTCTTCCTCAGATACGCACCAAAGGATGAGAAGGGAGAGCTTGTCTCTGAGACCAGAGTGGAGTTGTTCACAATCTAATGCTTTATTAATTTGTCCTGCTTTATTTGGTGGAGAGTTTTAATCAGAAGTGAATAAATTATGTTATTTTTCCTACGGTAACAAAAGCATCTTGTATTATGAAGCATTAGTATAGTTAGAAAAGATTATATGGGTATTCTGGAGTATAAAGGACTAATCAAACAATTAAACCTCTGAGGTAGAACAGTGACACTAAGCTACTTTGAATGGCAAATCTAATTTAGAAGGGAAGTGGAAACCGTAACTTGAAACCTCAAGGAGGGCATGAAATGAACACACGTTTCAGGTAACTTGTAAACAATATGCTGTGTTCCTTCCTTCTAAAATAACACAAAGCTTGATGGAGCAGTATTATCTTCCTCAATTCCAGACTATGTAAATAATGAAAATCTCACGGAATCACCTGGAGTTAGATTTGAAAAGCCAAGATATTGTCAGCTTTTAGCATCAAACATGCTGATTATGGGAAATGGATCAAGCTTTGTTTTCCTTGAACAAGTGGTTATGTACAAGAAGTGCCTTTCAGAAATAATTGTTCTAATACAGTGGTACCTCGGGTTAAGAACTTAATTCGTTCTGGAGGTCCATTCTTAACCTGAAACTGTTCTTAACTTGTGGTACCACTTTAGCTA